GTAGTGCAGTGGTAAAACTACACATCTTTGAAGCAGGAGTTGCAAGTTTGATTCCCACCCAGTATCCAGTAAGGATCCTGGCTTCACCCCTCATGCTAACCAAAAAACCCTGGAATGGTGTGGCTTTGTCTGCAGCACACACACAAGAACATTTCACTACACATCGTTCTCTGTACGATACTGTATATGACAAATAATAAAGCTTGTTTGTTTGAGCATGCATCAAGACAGTTTAAAAATTCACATTTTAATTTATTATGGCAGAATGATTGATAGGACCAGATGGCCGTGCAGTATAAAGTGATCTGGGAGAAACACCACTGTATATCAGTGAAGCAGCAACATGTTTTTGTGGTGTTGCACTTTGTAGACGGTCCCTGAGCACTTCTCTCAAACTCAGCTGCACCTGGAGACAAGCAGGGTTTCTTTCACCTCCACCTTAATGTTGGGATTCAGATGCTGATGGTGTTCTGATAACCTTTCTTATCTGTTATTGATCCAGTTCAAATATGTGGCATTATTTCAAACTTATGTGGTTCTTTCAATAAACTCAAACCAAATGGAGGCTCTGCTCTTACCACGGTGAATCACGCACCCACGCCCTGGAGGGTTTATCAAATTCAAGTTCAGCCTCTGAGCATGTTGAACCAGTTTACTGGATCACAGCCCAGCAGGAAATCCTCTCTGTTCGTTAGCAGTGAGGCAGGAATGGCAGAGTTTTGAGATGTGGATTCACTCAGTTATGAGCGGAGTGATCAGGACTCTGTTTGCTGTCCTTCTTTGAAGGATGATGAAAAACTTGCTGCCGTTCCTGCTCCTCGGTAAGAAACTCTGTATATATTTCTTGAAGTGAGTAAACTGCCTATTTCAGGCAGGAAATGTTTACAGCAGCCATGGAAATATGTTTCATGGATACCTGAGTAAGAGTCAGTTACTGGATTGGAGTCTGTTAACTGTTTATTGGTTAAATTATTTAGTTTTAAGCAATTCTACAAAGTTTTTTTTTTTGTGCAGATGCATCACAGTCAGTCAAGTAGAGGGGAAGAGGGGGACATTTTTGTGTGTGTGTGTGTGTTGGGGAAAGATCATGAGTACAGCAGAAAACAGAAACAGGTTTATCCACTTGAGAAAGAGCGAGAGGCTGAAAAGACATTTAACATTTGATTTGACTAATATTTTCTTTTTTGTGTTTCTTAAATCTGCACAGACATTGAGATAAGAACATTGTCAGGAATTCTTGTGATCATGATAATTTGGGCATGTGGTAATCTGATATTGTGACAGCCCTAATCTACATAATTAGTGTTTTTGCCAAGGTCCGGAGTCCGGTGACTCCATGTTTGTGTTTTTTGATTACTAAAATGCTTCGTTTCATTCGTTTCTGGATATATTTTGGTAATTCCTCCTCCTTAGGTTTTGTTCCTGTGCTGTTAAGTGTTTCATGTCTCTAGTATAGGTTTGGTTCTCTTTATTGATTTCTGCTTGTGTTATATTTATAGTTCCTAGTTTCTAGTTTTCTGTCCCACGTTTAGTTATTCTCATGTTGCATCTGTTTCCCTAGTCAGTCATGTCTCCACATCACAGTGTGAAGTCTGCGTCTTTGTAAATGCCTCTTGTTTCCT